CTCTCTCTCTCTCTCTCTCTCTCTCTCTCTCTCTCTCTCTCTCTCTCTCTCTCTCTCTCTCTCTCCTGTTTGGTCTGGGGCTATCAATCATGTATGGTTGTTAATGGAGGCAAGCAATGCCAACCCAAGCCAAGCAGCATTCTGATTTTTCCTTAAAAAAGACTACAGAAAGAAATCATGATTGATGTTGTTCAGACCATTGAAGAATTCTGTTCTTAGTTTTCTCAAAATGGGATACAAGGGAATTTGTTATACTGAGATGAGTTGGGTGTATCCAGCGGCCTCGCTCAGTTGGTCAGGCACGCAAAGGGCATTCACGAGGTTGTGGGTTCGAGCTGGGTGACGGCCTGCGGTGCACTTAGTGCCAACCGACTATGATAGTCCACTTGATACCCCTCATCGGTATTAGCAGGGTCTATGACCAACACGAGTGCGAGTGTGAGTGTGAGTGTGAGTGTGAGTGGGTTGTGTGGGGTGTGTGGGAGAGTGCTGGCCATAGCTACTGCTGCTACTCAATGGGGCTTGGGGGAAGTAGATGGGGGGCGCCGCTACGGGCAAAATGCTTGGTCTTTGGGGCTCGTTCGACACTCCTCGGGGGCCAAAATCCCCCAAGGAAATCGTAGGTCCACAGTCCTCGGGAAAAAAAAAAAAAAAACCGTGACCGGAATTCCTCAAGCTACAGACAATTTTCATTTTCCCCCAAGGAACCTCCTGTAGGATCCTCGGACCTCCCCCATCTGGAAGAACCGGGTCTTCGACGGCACCTCAGTTGACTTCTTTTCTCGGCGGCGTCTGGTCCATCGGTGGTCTGGGCGACTTGCGCACAGACATGTTGGGTCGCCAACGTTCAAGCGGCCCGATGTCCACGCCAACGGTGTCGGGGCAGATACCCTGACAAGGGTATTTGCCGGGGATTTCAAACACCGGACGCTGTCCAACTTTTTTTTGTTAAATTAAGGAGCTTGATGAGACTGACGTCGGCCAAAAGTTTATTCAGAACAAACCTACGACTAAGAGACTAAATTTTTGCTTAAGTCCAAATGCCTGCGGCATGCTATAGCGGCGGTGCGGTCGGTCACCAACCGTGTTTGGCGAGTACGGAGGGGCGTATGGGCGTTGGAATACTTAGTCTAACTCATATCCTACGTAAAATGATGACAGCCGCGCGATTCAGAGCCTGAGTAGGCCAAAGGGGTGGCTTATCGGGCTTACCGGGCTAAGCCTCAGCCGGTTAGATGACGGGGCGGCGGCCATTTGCGAAGGTGAGGCAGTTCGGGCCTGCCTAGTCCCGAGGCTGGGTGACCTACTGGGCAGCAGCTCTTCAAATAGAAGAGTTGCGGGTATAGCTTCTGTGAATAGGAACTAGCCCAGTAGGTTATAGCATCAACTATCACCTAACAGACGCTGGGATTGAACCTGAAGTCATTGTACTGGGCTGGCTCTTTTTGGAACAGCCCACCGGAAAGGAACGTTAGGTGCGGTCAATTTCAACCGCGAGATCATCAGATTTCACGACCGAAAACGGCCGCGCAGATAACAGCCTGGCCCTGCGCAAGGATGACACCCATAAATCGAGAAAATAAAGTGTAAAAAAGAGCCACAGCCCACCGGAAAGGAACGTTAGGTGCGGTCAATTTCAACCGCGAGATCATCA